CAGGAGCAGAAAGCCCCACCTTTCCTCTGAGGAGCAGCTGGTGAGCTCTAACCATCCACCTTGTGGTTCGCAGTCCTGTGCTCATCCTGTGGAATCACTGCGCTCCCTAAGTAAGATTTGGTGACCCCAAAACTTGTGTTCATGTTCTGGAAGATGGTATGGGTGGGTATTACCAATTCATTAGAATTTTGTTTATGCTTTGTTCACTAAAGCAATAGCATCTGAATAATGCTTTCAACAAACAGTAATAGCAGGACTACATCAAAGAAGAAACGAAATTAATTCATGTACAATATTAATATCCACTTCCCAAATGTATTGAAGTTTTATGTTATCTTTGTTTTCTTTTTCTTAGCAATGACTGGGTTATAGTTAATATTGCAAAGCTTTCTCCTTGAAATAGAAACCTACACACAATTCTGGTCCACTCATTTGAATATTTTTCTTCTAAGACCAGGATATTCACATGATGATTCACAGACAGAATTTTAAACATGTATTTATAGTTCTTTACATGCAGTTTCATATCTAGACAGAACCTTGAATACCAAACTTTGCTCACTGCAATGAATAACTCCAATATATAGGCTAGCAAGCAAAAACCAGTCATCCAAAGCCAAGGATTTTTTTCAACTTAAAAAAAAAAATTTAAAAAAAAGGGCGAGGGAGAAAGAAGAGTGAAGTGGCCACACTGAGTTAGCTATGCACCTCTGTCGTGACCTGCGATAGTCCAGCTAAGCCAGCAGTCCAGCAGTGAGCATCTATCTGCTTGTGTGAAAAACTGCCCACTTCATTTATGACTCCATTGGACCAAAGAAGGCTCATATAATCATGAAACTAAAAAGATACCACCACCTAATTCATGTCATCATCAATTTAGATCTACTTTACACAGTTGTGTGATGTGATCTTCCAGAATTGATCTTTGATCCATAACCCCTGAACCCTATATGTCAAACATTCCCCAGTATTCCTGAAATTTCTCTAAATCCCCATCTTATCCAGCTACACCCTCCTCCACAGTTCATTACCAAAGAATAATGGAATTGGAAAGGACTTTGAAGAGCAGCTAATTCAACAACCTTGTTATAAAAAAATAACAAAACAATGTTCTGATGGGATCCAGTGACTCACTGCACGCCAGCTTAGTTACGGGACATTGGAGGACAGACACACAGACACTTAACTGTCCTTTCGCCCCTTTTCCTTTGAATCACACTCTGGCCATGAATGCAGCAGTCAAGAAATCAAATGACGTATTGCATTGGAAAAACCTGCTGTAAAAGACCTCTTTTAAGTGTTCAAGAGCAAGGACGTCAAATTGTGGATTAACTCAAACCATGGTATTTTCAATTGCTTCATATGCATTTGAATGTTGGACAATGATTAAGTAAAACCATAGAGGAATCCATACATTCGAATTATGGTGTTGGCGAAGAATATTGAAAGTACCAAGAGGCTGACAGAAGGAAAAACAAATCTGTCTTGGAAGAAGTATAGCCAGGATGCTCCTTAGAAGCAAGGGCAGCCAGACTTCGTCATTTATACTTTGGACATGTTGCAGCAAGGGACCGATCCCCGGAGAAGAACATCACGCTTGGTAAAGTGGACAGTCAGCAAAGAAAAGGCAGACCTGAGTGAGATGGACTGATACGGTGCCAACAACAATGGCTCAAACACAACAATTGTGAGGATGGTGCAGGACCGGGCAGTGTTTCACTCTGTTGTGTAGAGCGTGACTATGAGTCAGAACCGACTGACGGCCCCTAACAACAACAACATGAAAGGTTAAAAGAACGTGAGTGTAGTTTATTCCAGTTCCCTCAAAAATGCCCACATGATTACGAAACAACACAAAGGAATCTCTGTATACCTTAATATGGTTTCAGGGAAAAGAGAAATGTACTGGTTAGAAATAATTTTTTTTTTTTTTTTCCATTTAAAATGCACCATAAATTGACCTTGATGAATACATGATGCTCTTAAACAGAATTCAAACACATTGTTAAATGATCTGTTAACAAAAGCACTAGATGTTAATTTAGGACCTAGACAATGTTTTCCTGATTTGACTTCCTTGACGATGTTACAAAGCAACAGTGAGGCTCACTCTCAAGCCAAGACGTCTGGAGTACATTCCACTTGACTCTCACATATGGCTGAACAGCAACCCCAACCGGACGGCGTGGGCTGGGGATGACAGCCTGACTTGATTTTCACAAGAGAGCCAAAGTGTGGTTATGGCCACTTGCCTTTCAGAAGACTCTATGAGAAGCGCCAGGGACGCCACATGCCAGGACAGATCTGCAGCTTTACCTGGCACATAGCCTCGGCTAACAGACAGCAGGCGCACAAGGAATGAGAGGCTCAGGTGAAAGGAAGGAATGCTTCCTGCTTCCGCTAGGGATGTGGAAAGCTGCTAACAGTGAACACCTGGAAAGCTGAGAGAGTGGGGTGACCAACAAAACTGAAATCTAACGCATGGCATTTGCCTGCAAGGAGACATGGTTACCTGGGATAGTTTTCTGTTGTTGTTGTTGTTGTTAAGTGCCGTTGAGTTGGTTCTGACTCACAGTGACACTGTATAGTGTTTCCAAGGAGCGGTTGGTGAGTTTGAACCGCTCACCTTGCTGTTCAAACTGACCATGCGGTCCAGTGATTTATCCCACAGTGCCATATCAGGATTTCTAGACACCAGGAAAAAGAATTTCGCCAAAATCGTTAAACTGATAAAGGCTGAGGAGAGGATAGCAAGAGACCAACACACTCCCAGGTGATGTAGATAAAAGAGGAATTTACACCCACTTGAAGGTTCTTCTCAAGACCTCACCTGGCTCTCACCAAAGAGATTGGGCTGAGTCCAGGCCGAGCATCTTTTTGGTGCATCCTGAGAGAAAGAAGAGTAAGCACTGCAGAAAAGGTATGAAACCTGTCCAGATCCTAGTACCCTGCTGCTCCTGAGTAACAACTGCCGGGGAGAAGCTCCCCTTCAGAAAGAGAAAGACATAGAGTAACACATAACAGCTTCTAAAGTGCTGAGAGAGGGACAGAATAGTGCAGGAAGATTCTCTCCAAGTCCTAACCCAAAACACAAACCTGAAGTTGAAGAGCAAGCAGACAGTGGCAGTGTTGGCAGTGTGCCCACCTGGAATAGGCTTTCCGAGGCTGTAAATCTTTACGGGAGCAGAAAGCCTCATCTTTCTCCCATGAAACAGCTGGTAGTTTCACACTGCTGACCTTATGGTTAGCAGCCCAACTCGTAACCACTATAGTAGACATTAAGAACATCAAAACAGCCCCTGCCCTACCCTAGGGTGGGTTGAGACTGACGGTGTACTGAACACCACAACAAATCCCCCAAAGAGCCCAATTTCTGACTATATTGACTGAAACGTGTACACTGAAGGTCTAGCAGAAGGAAAGATGTGTCTATTTCCAGGCATAAAATCTCCTTATCTTAAGCCTTACTGGTCAACACAGATGTCCAGTTTAGAACAAAATATTATGAGGCATATGAACAAGCAACAATAACACAGTCAGAATCCGGCACAAACATTATGCAGAAGCTAGAGCTAACGGATAGGAAAGGTATAGCTACAACTTACACTAGTAAAGGCTTGAATAGAAATGAATGTGCAAGATAAGAGAAGTAAGGGAAGACACAAAATCTATTAGAATCAAATGGAAACTAGAAGAGAAGTCCCAGAGGCAATGAAGTCGGTCAGTCATCAGTAAACTTGATCCAGCCACAGACAGACTCAGTGAATGGAGAGACAGGGTAAGAAAAACAATGCTGCGCTTGTGTGGAAAGAAAGAAAAAACACAAGTACAAGAATTGGAGAACTCTCATTTAAAAGGATGACCCAATTATATGTTGTTTATAAGAATTCTACTTTAAATATAAAGCCACAAATACCCTGCAATGCCTAATAAAATACAACTTGTTGTTAAGTGCTGTTGAGTCGGTTCCGACTCCTGGTGACCCTGTATAAGGTTTCTGAGGAGCTGCTGGTGAGTTTGAACTACTGACCTTGCAGTTCAAACCGACGTTGAGGTCGAGTGCTTATCCTACAGCGCCACACCAGGACTCAAAATACAACTAGAGTACCTATGTTAATATCACACAATGCAGACTTTGGGACACAAAATATTACCAGGGATAAAAACTTGCCATTATGATAAGAAATTTCATTCTCTAAAAAGATAAGTCATCAATCTGTATGGAGCTAACTAACAACAGAGCTTCAAAATGCATGTGGCAAAAATGGAAAGAATTAAAAGGAGAGATGGGCAAATTCACATAGTTTTGTGATGAACGTATTCAAGAACATATGAAACTATTTCAAGGTAACTGACATAAATATACTTCTAGACGTGTATTTATAGTCCTGGGCTCAAGCAAAACAAGCTGCTTTACAAATTGTTTATATTAACAACAAGTGCATTTTCTTTGAAGGTTTTTGTAGTAGTCGTAGTCTTACTAACTTTGGGAATCCAAAAAGACATTTGAAAGGTCTTTATAATTTTCAGTCTTTTTTTCCATAGAACAGTATTTGGTTTGGGTTTGGTAAACCCTGAGTGGGACTTCAGAGCTGTCCATGTGATTCTGAGGGAGGTGGTTTGTGGGCCACACTCTGATACACACAGTGACATGCAGTCTGTGTTACAGCTACGGATTCCAGTGGAAACACCTATTTTCCTGCACTTAAAAATTACTGTTCTGAGTTGTTTTGTTTGGAAGGTTGACTTTAATGTCAAAGCACGTCTATAAAAAGAGCCACTTTAACAATACATCCCCGTCTGGCACCTTATTAGCCTAGGGTGCTGGGAAAATGGCATCACACCCATTCTTTGTCATCACAATCCACACACACACTCTTTCATCTGCATATCCTTTTTATAAAGGCTTTAAAGCTTCACTTACTATACAGAGTCCTTTTTAAAGACCATCTCCCCATGGGAGGTACGTTTTAAAATACATGAAGGCTTAAGACTCCTACCTCGGTCCCAGAGACTGGCTCTTAATGCCCTCTCCAGCTGTTCCTCTTCACTCAGCCCCGCTGTGTATGCATCATAGTTCCAGGGTGCATCTTGGTAGTAGCCTGGTGTGCCACGTGGAGGAGGGTCCTGATACCCATAGTAGCCTGCAGGCACAGAAAGAACATTAGAAAACACTGCCACGGACCGCTCTTGGGTTTCATATTTTCTATGTTGTACAAGCAAAGTCAAGACAGGGATCCATTTGAGTATAGCAGTAAGCTTCCGAATGAGCAGAGATGATCAATACCAAGTGTCTCCATGAGGGGGGAAGGGCAATTTCATGCTTGTCCCGAGTGGCCACCAAGGGACCTGGCAAGAACGACTCCTCTCAAGCTGAACTGGGACAGAGACTTGAACACAGATGTTGTAAGAGGTGCTTAGGAGTCCTGAGGTGGTGTAAACAGGTGAGGTGCTTGTCTGCAAACTGAAAAGTTAGAGGTTCGAGTCCACCCAGAAGCACTACAGAAGAAAAGCCTGGAAATGAACTTTTAAAACATCAGCCACGGGAAGTCACATAATTGCAGTTGTCCTTTGACACCCGTGGAGGTCCTTGTGACTTGGAGTCGACATGGCTACAATTGGTTCACAGAGTGGAGAGGAACTGGAATGAGCTCCTGGCCTCTGGAGTGGATTCCCTTTCTCAGCTGAAGTAATTCCAGGGAATTCCCACCTGGAGACAAGAGACGACATGAAACTACAGCTGAGAGAACCTATTGGTCTGTGGCTCCAAGCAATGAGAAGCAGACTGAGGTTTAATACACACGGTGCAGGATGTCTGAGGTGGGTAGCACCCTGTGTGTAGCAGTAAGTATACGGGAAATCCTGTCCAGTTTATCTGGGATTGATGATTCTGTGCCAGAGACTGTAGGTTCTGTGAGGTGCTTTCGCACAGCTGGAAGCTAGATAAAACAAAGAGGCAAACAATCCAACAGAGAGACAGAAACAACACAGTATGTATCAGATCAGATGCCCCGTCAAGAAAGGTTAATAACAGAATAGAGTTCACTTTATGTTCCCATCCATCTTTTCAATCAGCTTGGTTTTAACCCCTCACCTTTTCTTTAGTCACTTACTGTTCTGGAGTTTTTATGGTAGTGTAGTGCTGTAGATCAGCACTGGACTCAAAATCACAAGGTAGGCAGTTCAAACCCACCAGCTGCTCCTCAGGAACCCTATATAGGGTCCATATGAATTGGAACTGACTCAGCACTTCACAACAACTCCCCACCACTAACCCCAGAAGACTGCCAGTCAATAAAGCACAGGTAAGCATCTTTCTGGTATTCTCTGCTTTCAGCGAAGAGCCATCTGACATCAGCAATGATAACCCTCATTCCACATCCTCATCGGAAACCAGCTTGAACCTTTGGCAGTTCTCTGTCAATTAAACCTTTGTAGCTGTTTTTGGATGTTGACATTTCCCTTGTAGGAGCTCTTAATGGTATTGTCTGATGACTTTCGTATTCCGTTGGGTCTGCTCTCCTTGGAATGGGGCCAATTATGGAGCGCCTCCAGTCAGTGCTCATCATTAATAAGTCTATGCTAGAATGTGTCCTGGTGGACCACACTGCCAGTGTTGGGATAATAGCAATAGGAAAATTACTTCATGTGGTTATTACTCACATTTATACACAAATGACTAACGGCAAAGATGAAGTCAGAGACTTTTGTGAACTTTTGAAAATGATGAACTACGCATTCACCATGCCATGATAAGTACTGGTGATTAGAATGTGAATGTGGAAACAAAGAAGGATAACTATTTGGAAAATTTGGCTTTGGTGATAGACACCACACTGGAGATCACATGATAGAAGTCTGTGCACCCATTAACTTATTCATTGCAAATACCTTTCTCAACAACAAGTCGTTGTTGTTTTTAAGTGCTGTCAGGTTGGTTTTGAGTCACAGCAACCCTATAGGGTCTCCAATGATCAGCTGGTAGGTTTGAACTGCCAACCTTGTGGTTCAAAGTCCAGTGCTAATTCTATAATGCCACATGGGGTTAGACGCATGGGCCTCACCAAATGCAGTACACAGGAATCAAATAGATTACATCAGTGGGAAAAATCAATTTCATCAGTCAAAACTACACCAGGTGCCAACTGTGGAACAAGCCATCAACTGCTAATATGTAAGTTTAAGCTAAAGAAAATGACCTTGAATTTAGAGACCATAGCAAGAATAGACTTGATGCACTGAACACTAATAACTGAAGACCAGGCAAGTTCTGGGATGCTATCAAGAACATCATACATGAAGGAAATAAAAGTTCATTAAAAGGGCAAGAAAGAAAGGAAAGACCAAAATGGACATCAGAAAAGATTGAAACTGGCTCTTGAATGTAGTAGCTAAAGTGAATGGAAGAAATGATCGAGCAACAGAACTGAAAAGAAAATTTCAAAAGGCACCTCAAGAAGACAAAGTATATAATGAAATGTCGGGAGTTCAAAAAGACAAAATCAAGAATGATAATGAAATGTGTTTGAAAATCAAAAGGGAAGAACACATTTGGCATTTCTTAAACTGAAAGAACTGAAGAAAAAATGCCAGCCTCAGCTTGAATGCTGGAAAATTCTATGGGCAAAATATTGAATGGAAGGGAAGCAAAAGAGAAGTCTGAAGGGTTGCACAGGGTCACTGTACCAAAAAGAATTGTCAATGTTTAACAATTTTAGGAGAAGCAATGGCATAGAAGGAAGAATTCCAAGCTACAATGAACAAAAACAGGGTTCCGGGAATTGATGAAATACTAACTGAAATGTTTCAATAAACTAACACTGAAAGTGTTAATTAGTCCTGGCCAGTCATCGAAAGAGACCTGTATTTGTGGCCACTGCAAAAAAAGAAAAAAGAGACTATCCAATAGAATGCAGAAATTACTGAACAGTATTATTAACATAACATGAAAATTAAATTTTGTATTCAAAAAATGGTTGCAGTTAGAGAATACTGCCTAGGTATGTACCCATGTTTTGCTGACTCAGCAAAGCATTTGACATTGGGAGTCATAACAAATAACAAGTAACTTTGGAAAGAATGAGAATTTCAGAACACTTCTCAATAGAACAGAACAAGGGGATACTGAATGGTTTCAAATCAGGAGAAATGTGTGCTAGGGTTATAGCCTTTCACCATACTTAGTCAATATAGGAACAAGAATGCGGCATCAGGGTTGGAGAAAGACTCATTAACCTATGATAAGGAGCTCTGGTAGCGTAGTGGTTACGAATCGGGCTGCGAACCTTAAGGTCAGCAGTTCGAAACTACCAGCTGCTCCGCGGGAGAAAGATGAGGCTTTCTACTCCCGTAAAGATTTACACCCTCGGAAATCCTGTACAGGGTCGCTATGGGTCGGACCCGACTCAACGGCACTTAACAACAACAACATGGAGATGATACAACCTGGCTAGCTGAAAATGAAGAAGACTTGATGATCAAAGCCTTGTTGATGTGGTGTGCTGACCAGTCAGGTCTGACTCACAGTGACATGACAGAGTTTCCGCGGGAAGGCTGTTATTGTTGTTGTTAGGTGCCATCGAGTCGGTGCTGACTCTTAGCGACCTTGTGCACAGCAGAATGAAACACTGCCCGATCCAGGGCCAACCTCACTACTGTTGCCACTCTTGAGTCCATCAGTGCTGCCACTTGGCCAATCCATCTTGTTGGGGGTCTTAAATCTCTTTCTCTGCCCCTCCACCTTAGCAAACATGATGTCCTTCTCCAGCAACGCGTCCCTCCTGACAATATGTCCAAAGTATGAGAGATGAAGTTTGACCATCTTGGCCTCCGTGGAGCACTCTGGCTGCACTTCTTCCAAAACAGATCTATTGGTTCTATGGGCAGCCCATGGCACTTTCAATATTCTCCTCCAACACCATAACTCAAAAGCATCAATTCTTCTATGGTCTTCCTTATTCATGGTCCAGGTTACTGAAAATACCATGGCTTGGGTTAGGAGCACCTTAGTCCTCAAGCTGACATCTTTGATCTTCAACATTTTAGAAAGGTCTTGTGCAGCAGATTTGCCCAATGCAATACGTCGTTTGATCTCTTGACTTCTGCTTCCATGAATGTTGATAGTTGGTCCAAGAAGAATGAAGTCCTTGACAACTTCAATCTTTTCTCGGATGATTAGAGTCTTCAATATCAATTTTACCTTACCATAAAGAAAATAAAGCTCGACACAACTGGACCAATAAGCAAAATCACAAAAAATGGAGAAACTTTCCAGCTGATGGTTGCTTTTGGACTTTTTCTTGGTCAGCGATTGAGGATGTTTCCATTCCATAATCTGCCGTTTACTCTCAGGCTCGTAGTGATGAATCCATGTCTCGTCACAAGTAACAATTTTTTTTTTTTTTTTTTTAAAGAAATTTTGGCTTTCCTTTAAGTATCGGTCCAAACACTTCTTTTTCATGCTCTTCTGTGAGCTGTTTTGGTACCCATCTCACACACTTTTCAATAACCAAGTCTGTCATGGGTAATTTCATAGGCAGAGCCATGGTTCTTCTGAAAATGCTTTGCCACATAACCCACTGTCAGTCGTCTATTCAAGAGAATCATTTCGCGAGCATGCTCAGTGTTGTCATCAGTCATGGACGTTTGGATGGGTGTTTTAATATAACTGGGCTGTGGATAATTTTTGACTTGTCCTCATATATATCTGTTCATCAAATCATGGATATTTGGATTAGGTCCACTTTTGGGCTGCAATGAATAAGGCTGCTGTGAACATTAATGCACAAGTTTTTTGTGGGCATATGTCCAGGAGTAGAATTGTTGGGTCACATGACAACTCTTTGCTTATCGTTTTAATGAACTGGCCCCCTCATTTTACAGTCACACCAGCATTGTATGGTTGTCCTGATTTCTCCAGATCCCCACCAACACTTACTGTCTGTTGTTTTCATTATAGCCATCCTACTGAGTACAAAAGGAGCTCTGGTAGCGTAGTGGTTACGAATCGGGCTGCAAACTGCAAGGTCAGCAGTTCAAAACTACCAGCTGTTCCGCAGGAGAAAGATGAAGCTTTCTGCTCCTGTAAGGATTTACAGCCTCGGAAACCCTGTACAGTGCCCCTACGAGTCAGAACCGACTCCAC